TAAAAAAATTATAGAAGTGTTATCTTTTCAACAGTAGGTATGAAACAATTAGACATCCAAAGGCAAGCTTAAGCGTTAATCTAAACTTTATACCTTATAAAATAATTAAATCAGCATAGATCAGAAGCTTCCAAATAAAATGCAAAATTATAAATTGGGATGGGAAAATAGAAATGTTCTAGGTTTGTTAAAACAATAATAAAAGAAGACAAAATAAAAATTAAACTTTGTAAGGTTTTTAAAAAAAAGAATGGATACAAACTTGATAAATAAGCCCTTCAGGGTGAACCAAGAGTTCTGGCAGTAGTCATAGCTAGATCTGAGCACCTGGTGTAGACATAGACAAAAAGACTCAGGAGGCAAAAAGAGATAGGCCTACGTCATACCACAGACTGTAGACTGAATGCATGGCTTACAGTATCAATGAGCAGCAAATGCAATGGCACAGTGTTCTTCCCAGAACTAATCACACTTTCCCCAGTTATGCAAAGAAGACAGTAATGGAGGAGTGATAACCAAACAAAAATCAGATCATGGTATGTATTTTTACAATGATTAGATACCAGGGTCCTGATAGATTTGATTCCGAAGTGAAGAAAATGTATCTGAAAGTCAATCAATCTTGCCTCAAGGCAAAAATTAATAGGAAAACACAGATGTAAAAAAATTCCCCTCCAATCTAATAATCAGATAAATATGAATTCAAAATGAAATACAATGCTATACCCAATCAGATGAACAAAAAAGTTTCAAGTACCATTGAGGATATAGAGAAATTTAAGATTTTAAGCCCTGCTAATGATAATTCAATTAATTTAGCCAAATGGAGAGCACTTAGGCAAATCCTAGGAATGTGAAAAGGTAGAATGTATTATGGTTCAAAAGTATCTGGTCTCTAAGGGGCCATGGTGATGCTGTCAGATTGGTGGTGTACTTGAATAACCACAAAGTTGGATGTTCAAACCCACCAATGGTTCCATAGGAGAAAAATGAGGCTATTTGTTCCAGTAAATAGTAACAGATTCAGAAATCCTATATAGAGTTTCTATGAGTCCGAATCCACTCAGCATAGGTTTGGGTTTGATATCTCATTCCTACCTAGGGTAAAGGATTATAAATTGCCAGTAATTTTCATGTGTCTAAACATTCTGTCCTATATGTGAAATATGACTTCGGCTTGATCATGTGATTTGATTTAGCCAGTGGAATATGAAAACAGAAACATGGTTAGAAACTGTTAGAAAAACTGTTAGAAACATTGACAGTTTTTTGTCAACCTATCTGAGCCATATCCCCACTGCCGACTTGAGGAAGGCGTGGAGTCTAGCCTGTCAATCAAGTTATAGCCAATGAAGCCTGTGTGTGGGCATGGCCTTCTCCTGAGGATTCTGGGAACTCCTGTCTTCCTCCCTGGAGGCCGGACACACACTGTTTCTGAGAGACATTCTTGTTAACAAGCCACATGGAGCTACCCTGATGGAACCAGAGCCCTAGAACTGGAGGAGTCCTGTGGAGACTCACTCCAGTGCTGAGATGCTTCCACTGCCCCTGGATCCACAAGACTTTCCACCCACTGGCTTGTGATCTTCCTGCATTCAGCGTCATTTCATGTGTTGTGTGAGTCTGAGGAGGAATTTATAAACTGGTATTGGACATATGGACTAATACCCGACTTATGGACTTGATCTGGACTGGACTGGGATCTCTTCTTAATATATTTCTCTTTGATATAAAGCTCACTCTTACATATCTATGTGTGTGTGTCTGGATTTATTTCTGTAGTGTACCCAGACTAGCACACTCTCTGTTGTGATAAGGATGATTACCAGACAAAAATACCCCTATTCCAGGTACTACTATAGCAAGCCAACCCTCAGCCACCATTATGAAGTCTGGGTAATACATAGTTGTTATAAGCTGTTATCTTAGACTAGTTCTCTAGAGAAGTAAAATAAGTGAAACTGTATATATAAAATAAGTAAATCGAGAGGGTACCTCCCAAAAGAATGGAAAAACGCTCCATTGGATGGAATTTTCATAGTATGCATTTTTCCCACTAGGCAAACATTGAGCAATTCACTCTGAATTAGTGCATCCAGTGGCATTACCTGGGAAGGTTCTCTCTGGTCACAGTGAATTTTTTTTATAAAAATAATTTCACTCAAACGTGTGTGTGTGTGTGTGTGATGGCCGATTCCAGAGAATAGTGTGTGGCTGTGAAATTGTGTTTCCTAATCCAGAAAAGTGCCACAGAAACTGTTGTGATGGTGAACACAGCTTATAAAGTCAGCACTATGGGAAAAACTCAAGTG